TAATGAGATGGAGGACAAGGCCACCAGCAAAAGTCACTTTTTTCTGCTTATTTACACTTCTTAGAAATGAAATACAATGCTTTTGGTGCAAGTGGAGATATTCTGCTGTGCAGCAGGTTAAAAAAATAATAATAATCTCCAGGAATTTTAAGTGAGATCCTTGGTAGCATACAATACTCTATTTTAACTGCCTTGAACTCACTGAATCACAGAATTGTGGGGAGCTGCAAGGGGCCTCTGAAGATCACACAGTTCAACTCCCAGCTAAAGCAGGTTCCCCAGAGCAGATTACAAAGTGTTAATTAAGAAGGCTCAGATTTCATAGCACTCTGAAACATGAAAGTATTGTTTGTCTTTGTTGATTACTTGGTATCATTTACAAAGGGGTTTTCTTAAATCATCATTTTGAAGCACTTGGCCCCCAGGGCAGCAATAATGTAAATAGCACTGACTCAAGGTTTCTGTACTGAAAGTAACTGTCTCTTCATGCCCCTCAGCAGAAGGCATATTCTGCAATGTGGTTGGGAAAATAAGTCAGGACCAAGACTTCCAGGTCAAACCAGTCTCCTGAGTTTATCTTCTTTGCTACAGACTCTAAGACACTTAAGTATTTTCATTGTTATATATAATACACAGGATTTTTCACTGATTTCTGAATTTCATTGAAGATGGTGGAGATTCCAGTGTGTTTCTCCAGCCATTAAAATTAAGAGGTAGCCAGGAAAGAAGAACTTAGCAGGCTCAGAATTCTACCAAAGAAGCAGTGATCAAAGCTGCTTTCTGCAATAACAGTACTGATGAGGGAGACCTATTTGAACTGGGTGATGGGAGTATTAGAACTGGTGGGTCAGTCTAACATACGCTTCTAGCAAGTGTTTTAACCAACTAAACTCTGTGAGTTATGATAGTATAATTGTCCGGTTCCATAGCATTTAAGGTGCTTATAAAGTAAAAATGAAACTCAGTGTGTAGCCTATAAATGATGTGAGTGCCCAGCTATCAGTTCTATGAACACTGCTTAGTGAGGAGAGGACAGGTGCATCAGTAAATACTTGTAAGATCACATTCCCCAGGAAAAAAAAATATATATATTGTTTTTCTATATGAAACCTTCTTCCTCTCCTTCACTTATTCTGTAGAGCACAAGAACAGGGTAGGTTGGTTCTTTTCAACTCTGCTGTTGTCACGTAAGTGAAAGAGCAGAAATAACATGTGAATGAGTTCCTGTCTGTCCCAGTTGTATGGCAAGAGTGGCAAACAACAGATGTGGTGACAGTTTGCCCTGATGACAAACATGGGCCTGTGTGGCAGCAGCACACAACATCTTTAAACCCGATACCTCAGTTTATCCAGGTGGAATTAGCAATGTGCAGCCATATTCACCCCAAAGGAAAAAAGGGTGGAGGAGTGTCAAATTGTCAGCATCTATTGCATCTTGAGTGTCAGAAAATGATTTTTAAAATGACTTTGTATGAAAATTCAGAAGGCATGGTAAAGGGGAGTTTAAGTGGAAAATGCTTCTTGTACTTTTTGGTTCTAAAATTGCTGAGTTATTTTATCAGAAAGTCTCTTGAATTAAACTCAGGCTTACTGTTTGCTCCAATTAAAATTATCAACATTATATGTGAAATTACATGTGCAAAAACATTGTGTATACCAAAGATGCAAGTTAGAGCATTTAACTTTTAAGAAGGATTTTACTTTCAGTCTAAATATTAGACTAGAAAAACATCCAGCCCCAAAATTACCTTATTACTGAGTTGTTTTTTTGTGTGAAATCATAAGTTCATCACAAATAATGTTGATGTCATAATGTTCCATAATTCCCATAGCCCTCTTTATTTTCTGAGTTGCATGAATGATTTGGAAATAGGAAAATGGCTTATTCTTAAATTCATGCTGTTCCCCCCTTAATTTTTTAAAGGAATTTGATATTTTACATATCCTTCCTTTGTGCCTCCCACCATTGTATGTTTTTGCATGTCCAATACTAAAACTCATTCAAACAGCTAATGCCTATGTACATAGTGTATGTGTATGAATGTATATGTGTTTATAAGTCTAAATATATTATGTACAGTGTATATAAAGTGTGTAGTGTATGTAAATATGTACATATGTGGCCAAATATTCCTGATGTTCTTTGTTAGAACTCTGCATTTGTTTTCTAATTCAGAGCTACTTAACTTTCATTTCGTAGCCCAAACAAAGCCTGGCTTAAAGCAGGTGAACACCCATGAATTTCAGAGCTTTGCCTCTTTTTCTAATCCCAGCTTGAGTTTGGTATTTTCTCTTCAATACTCACAAATACTCACAAATAAATTCAGTGAAGCTTCTAGCTTTTTTGTTATTCTCTTCACCTTCTCTCATTTGATGGGTGAAGTGAGCCAGTAAAGAGTTGGTAGAACCTGAAATATCTGTGAAAAATAAATGTATTAAAAAAACCCCAAACACTACAGTCATACTTCCATATTTTCAATATATACTTTCTTCTCAGATGGCTGAAAGAAAATGTTTTTTTGTAAAGTTTTATTTCACAGTGAAACATTGTAAGAGGGTTTTAAGTCTTCAGCTGTAGTTAATGGAAGAGAACAATGTTTCCCTGCATCACTGAACAGTAGCACTCAGAACAGCATGCAGCCATGCCACTTAAAAATGTAATAATGAACTAAATGAAGTTTGTTGTTTATTTATTACCAAGGCTGTTACATGTTTTCAAGTTCTATCATTTTCTGAAACTGCAGTCTGTGCAGATCTTTGCAGTGTGTGTGAAGTCTCCATTAATAGTGGGAGCTGGGCACACCGAGTGTTTGTGAAATTGGACTTGAGCAAAGTCTGCTATGCATAAGGAATGTTCAGATATCTAAATTATCAAAATACAGGACATTCTTGTTCATTTTCCCTTCTGATGACTTGAAGGTACGTGTGTGAGCCTGTAGAAGTAATCATATTAACTTTTTTTAAGGCATTTTTACAGACTGTCTAGGGGAGTAGTTTAAGCATGTCTTTTGTATTAAAGGTGAAGTGGAATTTTCTGGGCATTTCCCTCATAGACTCAATGTTGTGAGGACTTGTTTGCATTTAACTTTGAGCAGATGGGCAGACACCAATAAAAGTAGTGAGTTTCTTGCATGCTTAAAGTAAAGCACAGGTCTTTCAGAGTCAGGCTGTGTGTGTAAAATCTTCGCTATGAAGAATGCTAGGAATGATCTTGTTTCTTGCTATATTGTTTAGTAAGCATTTGTAAGCTCTTGTTTTAAATATAGAACTTGTAAAGCATCCATCTTTGATGTTTCAAGTCCTATTTGTGAGACCTTCAGCAGGAAAATTATTTAAGTTAATGGCAGGAATTCCTGTGACAGACGGTCCTTCATTGGTGTCATGACAATCAGTGTGGTCTGTATAATGCTTCCTTTCCCCTTCAAAGGCTGAATGAAAACCTGAATGTCTCTTAATTATTGTCATTGTAAAGTTCTAAAGATTAGGAAATGGACTGCTGAGGTATTGATGTGAACTGAATCTATTTAAGCATTCAATCGTGACTTTGTTTTACATACATGCTTGAATTGTTTTTATTGTGAAGAACAAAATGTTCTCAAATGTAAGTGACAGTAAAGCAGATGTTCTAATATTCTACAGGAACTGTGGAAACTGTAATTGGCTTTCTATATTTGATCACAGAAAACAAAATTCTAAGAAGCACATGTTGCCAGGTATCCAGCACTCCTGAATGATTGGCTTGTACATTTTTTTTTTAATGATCTTAGATAAACAGTAATAAAGCACAGGTCCATTTTAAGGTATTTTCTACAACTGTAGATTAAGAGTAGTTTAATTCATGAATTAAAAGAATATCTTGAGGGGAAAAAAACATGTTGCTTACATAGTATATGTTTCATCATAAATGAAGTTAAGGTAAAAATGTGGGAATCTTCTTTAATTAATCTGTACTCTAAAACACACCTGCAGCCGGTCTCCAAACAGTTTGTGTAACTGAGAAACTGTACATTGTGTACATGCTGGATCCATATGGCCTAGCAGGCAGTACTGAGCTCCTATCAAAATAGCTCGTTTTTATAAAAGGAATAATCTACTTTTAATTCTGTGGGATACTTTCTAGGAATCTGCTTACTATCTTTTAGAAAAGTATCGTTTGTGCTATTAGATTTCAATTTCAGGTTTAAATATCACAGGCATTACTCATTTCTCACAGCTTCTTTTGTGAAATCAACATTCTATGTGTGATAGCCTATAAAAATAGCATGGTCTTTTTTTTTTATATGGATTTTATACCTAATCAGCGTCTTCAGTTCATGAAGAGGAATTTGCATTGTTGTCTTTATATAGAGTATTGCAGTGCATGGTTTAGCTTATGCATTTTATTAAATGCTGTTTAAGTGTGGCTTTATATTGTTGTGGCTTAATACTACTACCTAAGTGAGGTTTATATGATTAAAGTGAATTACAAATATAAATGTATTCTTGATTTATTTTTTTTTTATTTTTAGGTTCACTGAATTTCTTAAGCGTTGTATGTCTGAGCCCAATGCATTACAGAAATGGACATTCCCATTCACTACAGTGATTATTAGAGATTTGCCTGGCCATAAGATAAATACAAGATAAATCCCATGAACCTTAAGTCATGAGGGAGCTACTGCTGTAACAAAAGACTTCTTTTCCTAGAAGCTGTAATTTATCTTCTGTAGACTTATGTGTTTCTCCTGAAGGTACGGGGGGAGATGATGCTGTTACCTGCTGCTCTTCTACTCCTAGGTTTTAAGTAAAGGTAGAGTGTTGGATTTCAGTTCCCTTCACCCCTGCTTAGTATTAAGTGCAATGAAACTGGACTCTATTTTGAATGGTAAACATATCCTTAATTTTATGTATAATACGTCTGAGAGACACCGCATTTATTCTTATAGCAAAGATACTGACTCAATTTCTTGCTGGTGCTATTAGAAGCTCTGCAACTTGGAGCTCTGAGTACGGTTTCACAGAAATAAGGCTAAAAAGAGTTTTGGTTTCGGTTATCAAACTCGGTGCCTCTAGAAAAGCATCCCTGAGCAGCGGTAACGCTCCTGGAGCGGGGCGGTTGCTGGGGCTGCTCGAGCGCGGCGCGGGGCGGGGCGGGGCGCGCTGCCATGCGGGCAGATCCCTCCCTGGCTCGCGCAGATCCTGCTGACCTGCCGCTACCTGCGAAGCGCACCTCGCGCGGCGGGCTGCCGGGCATCTGCCCCGGCCTGCTGCGGGCCGTGCGACGCCGGTGACGGACGGGCGGCCCGGTGCGACGGCTCCGTACCCGCAGAGCTTCCCGACAGCGACAACGGCGCAGACACCCGCGGGGCCACCCGTCGCTCCCGCCCGGCCGCGTCCTTCCGCGCAGCCGCGGGGCGGCGCTTCCCCGCACTTCCGTCGGGCGGCGCGGGGTCGCCGCCATGCCGATGAAGGGCCGCTTCCCCGTGCGGCGGACGCTGCAGTACCTCAGCCAAGGCGACGTCATTTTCAAGAGCTCCGTGAAGGTTATGACCGTGAACTACAACACGGCGGGGGAGCCGAGCGAGGGGGCGAGGTGAGCGCGGGGCGGGCGCCGGGCGTCCATCCGCGGAGCGTCGCCGCCCACCTCGTACCGTGCTGTTCTTCTTTCTCTCCCTCCTAGAAAGTTTGTGTTTTTCAACATCCCCCAGATCCAGTACAAAAACCCCTGGGTGCAGATCATGCTCTTCCGGAACATGACGCCTTCGCCCTTCCTCCGTTTCTACCTCGGTAGGTGCCGCGGGCCGCTCTTTTTTTGAAGCACTTCTTTGCGACTACTGTGCAGGTATGTGCTGCTACACTGCTGTGACCTTTTTAACAGATAGCGGAGAGCAGGTTTTGGTTGATGTGGAAGATAAAACCAACAAGGAGATAACTGAGCACATTAAAAAGATTCTGGGCAAAAGCAAGTAAGTAACTCTTCATATAAGCTAACATTCCTTCCCTCTGCCATACGTCTTATTACAGCTTGAGTGGTGCACAGAAATGAAGAAAAATTCATCAGAAATGGTCTTAGCCAGGGAAATCCATCCTGGTTAATTGTAGCCTGGGAAGAGATGGGTAACATCTGCAGGTAACAAACAGATCTCTCTTTTTTTTCTAGAGAAACACTTGAAAAAGAGGAAAGAGAGAGAGAGAAACTGTCACATCCTGCAACTTTTGGGCCCAAGAAGTATCATCTGCGAGAGTGCATGTGTGAAATTGAAGGCCAGGTTCCTTGCCCTGCCTTTGTGCCACTGCCCAAAGAGATGAGAGGAAAATATAAAGCTCCACTGAAAAATGAATCATCTGCATGACATCTCAGGTCAAACAGCTGTGTTTCCTCAGGACTGGATGATCACAGTGGTTCTTCAAAGACGAGCGTTAACACATCCTGGAAATGGGAGCAAGTTCATGTGCTACTGACATCCCTGTCTCATTACAGCCACAACTAGAATATCTATTGTGAAAAATATTATCAAATAAATATAAGTTTAAAAAAAAAAAAAAAAAAAGCAGCTTTTGTTGTACCAGTTTGCAGTCAAAGCTGGGTAAAAGCAACAGAGAAAGCAATGACCGGAGCCCTATTTCCTACTCATGCCTGCAGGTATAAGGGGTCATAGCAAAAACAGGATAGCTGATGTTGCAAGGGACCTCTGGAGGTCATCTTGCCCAGGACCGTGTCCAGATTGCTTCTGAAGATCTGAGGGAGAGAGCACCACCACAGCCTATTGGACAGCCTGTGCCAGAGTTCGCTCACTCTCACAGTTGTTTTTTTTAAGTGTCCAGAGGGATCCTCCCATGTTCTAGTTTGTGCCCATTTCTTCTTGCCCTGGCATTAGGCACCACTGAAAAGCCTGGCACCATCATCCCTGTACTCAAGTTATTGATAAACATTGATAAGATTTTTTCCTGCCCCAGCCTTCTCTTTGCTAGGCTGGGCAGTTTCACCTCTCAGCAATTTTTTTTGCAAGAGAGGTATTCCCATCTCTTAATTATCTAGATGGCACTTGGACTCTCACCAGTATGTCCATAGCTCTGTTGTACTAAGCCCAGAACTGGACACAGGACTTCAGCTGTGGGATAGGGTAGTAGTGCTCCCCAGTGCTGAGTGGAGTTGCAGGATCAAGTCCCTCAGCCTGCTGGCAGTGCTTCACCAGCTGTAATCCCTAAGTTCCTATTTGCTTTGGGATAAGAGACTAGGCAAAGAATCTCTCTTAAAGCAGCACAGCATACCCAAGCTATGTTTTAATTGCTCCTACTGTTTTCCAGCTTGTACTATCTGAAGGAAGACCAATGATAACATACCCATGCCTGAAACTTAAATGCTGGGTTTTCTTGCTTAACTGATTTGGTTGTCACTTAAAGTTTGGTTTATCAAGAAAATTTACAGCTTTGAGAAGCACTGAAAAGAATATCAACAGAGGAGAACAGGCAAGTTGATATTTCAAATATATGCCTTAAAACAATCTTCATTATTCTTAAGAAGAAAAAAAATTAACTTTTAAAATGTGGAAATAAAAACCCAAACCCATACAAAGGAGAACTGAATCTTAAGAGCTTCCAGCTATTCTAGCCAGCATGTTGTGCTGGAGTCCAGTACTGTTGTACATCTTCTACTTCTGATGCTACTGGCCCCTACCCACACAGTTTTATATCACAGTAGATTCTGCCTTAAGTGATTACACTATACCTATAACAGCATGTAAATGCACAATAGTACTACATTGCTTTTAATTATTTAACTGCATAGACCTTTAAGTCAGGCTTATATGTGCAAAGTACTCTAGACATAGTTATCAGCATTTCTCAGCTAATGGTTGAATGCAGTATTTCACACTGATTTTTAAGGGATGCTTGAATTATCAGGGATGAATACAGCACAAAATAGATGTTACTGCATCCCTTGTTTAAAGTTTCCATACAAAGTACTGCATGCAATTTTAACACGTCAATGCTAGTTACTTAGTAGTTCTACAGTTGTATTCATTTTGTTGTGCCCTGGGAGCCTCACAGCAGTCCAAATACCAGCACACGGTCTTCACAGTGGAGAGAACTTCAGTATGAGGGGGCTGATCTACCACAGTTAACGCTGTCAATGACCATGAGGTATGCTACTCATAAAAATACGTTGTTACGTGTACAGAATGATACTTTATTAGTGTAATTAGGCTGAACATACAAATAGTGCAGGATAGTTACAACAAGGAAAACACACTTTTTAAATGCGAGAGCTGAAGCCACTGAAATATTCTTTTCATCTCAATATCAAAAGGAGCTTTGGGTTATAATGCAGGGAGCACTCCTTGACTAGCAAACTAGTCTGCCTTGAATAACTGACTTGTACTATTTATTTTTAAATGAACAATTCTTGGGATAAACTTTAGCTATCAAAAGTTTTTACTGCCTTTGTAAATCTAATGCCACAGCACAGAATTTTAGTTAGTTTACCACCTTTCAGAATTCTGCTGCACAGACAGTTGGTCCACTGTGCACAGCAGCACTTCAGTGGGTCACTCAGCAATAACAAAACACACTGGTAGAAAAAACTGAAGTTTGTAAGACGACCCATTCTGCACAACTTTCAACTTCAGCTTTAGGCTGCAGTAAGAACAACTGTCCTGAAGTTGCTGCACTGAGCTATTCTGATCAGTTATTAGTGTTACTGAGGGTACATTTGTTGGTTTTGTGTTAAACAGAAGTACATACCTCCAACATATTTAAAAGAAAACAAATCTAGAGTTCCTACTGTTTAAGTAGCACAATTATTTGTGTTTCTGAAATACTAAGTAGTGCCCCAGTTACAGCTATGCTATTCATATCTTATTGGAGACATAGTTAAGAGATGTACCACTCCACAAAACTTTGTACTTCTCAGTAAGTCCAGTACTATTAGTGCAAGAGAGTATGATCAGCCCAATATCCTCCACTTCAGCTTTAATTAAATGCACCTTTTTTTAACTAACTCCTCCCAACCACCTTTTCAAACACTGATGTCTGAAGATGGGCCTCTGCCTCTCAAAGGGGGGGGGGGATAGTGAGGGGGTAGGGAAAGCACCTCAGACCGTCTTTAGCAAAATACGTGCTAACTTAACATTGAACAATCCTAAATTTTACAATACCAATCTTCAGAAGCCCTCCTGTGCCACAGGAGCTGGCCTTCACCTAGTCACTGCCGTGGGCAGAGGTCCGCACCAAGACTCCCATCTGGACCTGCTTACTGAAGACACGCATGCCTGATTCTTATAACTTCTGATGAGAACCAAGTATAAAATAGGAACTTATATTTGGCACAATCACAGCCCAGCTTTCACAGAAGTCCAGTTCAGTGACACTTTAGCTCTCTGCTGCAAACAGGATTTCTGTTCTTTAAATGCTGCAAAAAGGATTCAAGTCTCAGATAAGACAAATATATGATTAATCTGTAACCCAGAGAATATAAAGGAATGTGCATGTTCAGAATATAATTAGGAATTTCAAGGTCACCCTTAATACTACAGTTTCAAATGATGCTAGCCTGATGTTCTGAAAATATACTCGTCTACATATTCATTCCCACACACACAGCTCTGAAGCCAGTGTGGCTCTCTGTTAACTGCAGTTTGTGCCTAGAGCAACTGGGAAACTAAAAGTAACGACAAGGTGGCACCTCAGTTCTACCTCAGAGTTCTTATAAACACATTTTAAAAGTTATTCATATTAAGATCAGTGAAGTCTCTAATAAGTTTTTAAATCAATTTTATGTATTATTGCACAAAATTGACCTGTAGCTTGTATATCCTGCATCTCAAAGAATAACAGCAGCCTTTCAACAGCACTTTCTTGTAACTCTCTTAGGGCAATTAGACTGGCCTGCAACTTACACTGTTTATCAGAAGATGCAGAAATCTTACAAACACTTTTGTCTCTTCAGTCAAAGCTCCACTTGAAAAGCCAGTAACTCAGCCGCCGTAACAACACAGTGGAAACAAGGAGGAAAGATGAGAAACCAACCCTGACACCATTTCAAAGTGACAGTTTCCTATTACTGCTTAACCCTTTTGACCAAAATGTCAAGACAAATTAGCATTAAGATGGTTGTAACAACTTGTTATAAGTTTTTCTTAGTATGTTTTCTTAGTATGTAAGTGTGTCTTAGTTCAAGACTAGCAGCATTCCTCTTATCTTCTTTCTGAAAGGCTGAGTAATATTGGGAATACATAAATGAAAGTATAAAATACAACGTTCTCCCAATTCCTCGTAATCTGTACTGCTGTTTATAACTGCTCCATCTTCCCATCTCTTAACAGTGAACTTGAGATAACTATTACAAGGTGATTACTGCTTCAACAGTTGGATTTTTCCTTTTGTTTTGCTAACGTGTACTTCAGTTCTTTCAAGTTCTCTGTCAGTAGCTCCACCTCATCCATTCGTCCACTATGCTTGGCATCAAATATGTAGGCTTTTATATTATCTATCTGTTGGAGAAGCAGTTCCTCCTCTATAGCCTCCTCTCTTAAGATCTCACTGACATCCTCCACTTCAAAGGGATTGGTAGAAGATCCTTCTTCAAATGGATTTCCAGAATTCCAATTGCTCCCAGACTTCTGAAATGGATTTTCATTCTCTTCAAAGGGATTTAAAGTACTGACAGATGCTCCACTAGTTTGTTCACCTTCCTCCTCATTTTCAAATGGATTATACTCTTTTTTATCACTTTGCAGAGCTGTGTTAAAGAAAGAAATCGGTTGAGATACATCTTTGGCAAATGGGTTAGTGGGATCTTCCTCTGACAGAGGGGTATCTGCTTCATCTTCAAAGGGGTTTAGACCGGCTGCCTGATTTTGGTCTTTGTCACACTGCGGAGTATTGTGGTGTCTGACTGGAAAGATTAAGTACTTTTTAGCTGGCAACTGCTGAACATCATTAGTTTCGAAACTTCGGTTCCCTTTCACTTGATTAATATCTAAACCCAACCCATGTGCTGACAAGTTCTGATTCTCTTTTGCAGCTTCATAGTGATGCTGCTTGCCTTCTCTGAAATCTAAGGAGCCTGTCCTTGAATGCTGAGACGTGAATTTGTGGTGTTCTCTTTCCCACTCTTTTTCACAAAGGAACTGAAGTTCTTCCCTCTGCTTCTCTTCTTCTTCTGCCTGTTTTTTAGAAAGCTCAATAGCTTTTAGAGTTTGTTGTTGATCATACTCATCCTGAAGTTGCCTCAGGTTTTCTTGCAACATACGGACTTCATCCAGCCGATTAGCTGCTTTTGCTTGCTTAATAAAGGATGTGATGTTGTCAATCTGCTGAAGAAGTGGGTCTGCTACCTCACTCTGTCGAGATATGCTAGATGTAGGTAGCCAGCCTTCAGATTTCTTGACTGTTACATTTTTAAGGAGAGTTGCATCACCATTAACTGCACTTGCAGATCTGTAAGTCAAGTCTTTCTGCTTCTCATCTTGTTTTCTGTGTGTTTCAAGAGCTGCCTAAAACAAACATATACAGAGAGAACATGAGCTTGA